TGTCTATAAGGGATCAGTTCTAGTTCCAGTTCAAAAGATTCTCACTGACTAGAAACCTGACTTTTGGTATTTAAAAAATACCTCTTGGCCCCAGTAAAAATTATTACGTGGGCCTGTTTGGTGTAGTGGTTAAGTGTGTGGACTCTAATCTGGGAGAACCGGGTTTGATTCCCCACTCCTCCACTTGCACCTGTTGATGTGACCTTGGGTCAGTCACAAGCTCTGGCACAGCTGTCCTTGAAAAAGAGCAGTTTGTGTCAGAGTTCTCTCAGTCCCACCCACCTCACAGGGTGTCTGTTGTGGGGAGGGGAAGGGAAGGGAGTTTGTAAGCCGCTCTGAGACCCCAAGTGAAGGGCGGGGTATAAATCCAATTTCTTCTTCTTCTTCTGTCTTGCTCTGGATTTTGCCTGGGCGAAAACAGCTGTTTACAGCTTTTTAGGGTCTGTAACACAGCACGTATCCTGATGACAAGAAATGCAATAGTCCAGTGGTTCCCAAGGTCTGAGCCAGGATCCAGAAGTGTGTTGCGAGTCTCTCATGAAGGCGTCATGAGTAGAGTTGCTACTCTAGGCAGCTGGTTTGGTGTAGTCGTTAAGTGTGTGGACTCTAATCTGGGAGAACCGGGTTTGATTCCCCACTCCTCCAGCTGCAGCTGCTGGATGACCTCGGGCAAGCCATAGTTCTGTCAGAGCTGTTCTTGAAAAAGAGCCGTTTCTGACAGAGCTCTCTCAGCCCCACCCACCTCACACGGTGTCTGTTGTGGGGAGGGGGAAGGAAAGGAGACTGTAATATATTTTTGAAGCACTCCCCACGAAGAACAAGAATATATAGATTTCCTCAGTGTTAAGTGATGGGAGATTCCTGCATTTTGTGTGTCTGGGGGGGGAGTGTCGCTTGGCGTTATGTTGCAGCTGTGTCCCTAAAAGAAATATATATTTAGACTGGCCCCCAAAGTGGATCCCATGAGATATTGCAAAAAATGTTAGATGTAACTTTGCCATTTGTACCAGAACTGTTTTTTAATTAAATATTAATATTCCAGAAAATTTAAAAAACCCAGATGCATATATGATCATATATGTAGTAACTATGGCTAGGATTGTGTATGCAAAATACTGGAAAAAAAAGAAGAAGTCCCATCGAAAGAAGAAATAATATATAGAAATAATCTATAAACTATTGGATAAACTAACTTTACAATTACAAGATAAAAAAGAAGTTTTTGAGAAGAACTGGTCAAGACTATAAATGAATTGAGGATTATCTTGCAAAACGTGGATTATAATACTTCAAACATAAACTCTACTTGTTAAATGGTTAAACTGGTCTAGGTGCATAACAGAATGTTTCTATTTATGCAAAATTTAAGTAGTTACAATGAGTACAGACTCCATATTTGTTGTATGTTATTCTTTGTTTGTAGTTGTTGTCTTCTTTTCTTTCACTCATGAAAAACTAATAAAACTTGCAAAGAAGTGTCTGGCGTCAACAGAAGAAATTCAGAGTGTAAAGAAGAAAGTTGTTAAAGTGGAAAAACAACAGATGAAGCAGGAAAATAAATTATTAATGCTTCAAATGGAAAAATCAAACTTGATTCTACGATTTCAAGGATTGAAAGAAGAGGAACAGGAAGACCTTAGAGATATTTTGGCAACAGCATTGGCACCACGGATCGGCAGCAAAGCGGGAAAAATAAAAGAAGAGATGGATCTGGCTTATAGAGCCTATTCCAACTATACAAAGAAGAATAAGCTGCCGGCAGAAGTGGTAGTGAAATTTACCAAGCAAAATCTCCGGGATCAAATTTTAAAATCAGTTTCAGCAACACCCTTGAAAATTGCAGAACAACCAATTCGAGTCTTGAAAGACATTCCATTTGAAATTAGAATGAAAAGAAAAGAATATAAAGGATTGACTTTGTTCTTACAAAAACGCCAAATTAATTACAGGTGGTTAACGCCAGAAGGACTGGTCTGTAAATTTAAAGATAAAAGAGAAAGGATTGATTCTATCTTGAAGGCACAAGAATTTTTGAGAAAGCACGCCAATACAGAAGAAGAGGCAGAACTCGCAGAGTGGATCTCGGGAAGAAGTGAAGATGACAGCAGCTCGGAAGGAGAGGTGAAAGAAGAAGAAGTAAAAGGAGCAGCCGGAGGTCCAAAGTACAACTTAAGAGAGAAAAAAGGGAAAACATCTTAAATTTTGAGGACTTATCTGGACAGTGCCATAGAAGGATTATTAACCCCAAAAGGACTTTACTAACATACTAATTGCCCGATTTGAAAGGAAAAAGAAGAAACAGATGATTATCCAACTACAGAAGAAGACGCAAACTGTGATTTGAACTTTGCCTTTAATACTAACAGACTAATATACCTGTATTAACATCACTCACACTTTTCTTTGTCCCTCTATATACCCTTCCCTTTTTTCTGAACTCTAAAGCGAAACTTCTCTCCTTTTTAGGAGAGGGAAATAAAAAAAATTTAAATAAAAAAGAAAAACTAATAAAACTTTTTTAAAAAAGAAATATTCGAGAGCAATGGCCTTATATGTGTCGCCGTTGATATGGGGTCATAAAGGGCGATTCTGCATTGGCTTATACTAAACCCACGCTGGAACAGAAATTCCCCTCTACATTGCATGACGCTTTTGCTTCCTTCGATCATCGGGTTTTATAGTACCTTCTGCATAGATTTACGGCAGTTCAAGGGTGACTTTGCAGTCAGTATGGTGTTGCCCCGGGTTCTCTGAATGTGGTTTTGACCTGAACCTTTCCCTCAGTGCTGAGAAAATGTGGAGCTAATGCCAGATGCCGAATCGCCCAAAATGCACCTCCTTCTAGGGTACTTTCACATCAGCTAGACAGCTGTTCTCGGATACATTATTCTGTCTAAGGGTCAACACAAAGGACACATGGTTTTTTTCCTGCATGCTTGACTTACTCCTGCTTTTCTTGTCAGTCGATCAACAAGCCCTGGAATTCGCTTGGGCTCGGTTCTTGCACACATCTGTACTGGCTTTGCATTTTTACAGTTGCGGAGTCAGTTTATTTTCTCTTGCAGTTTCCTTGAATAATCAGGATTTCAAGGGAGGGGGCTACCGTCGCTGAGGACATCATCCGTGGCATCACAGCAACTCCCGTTTTAAACATTCTGCACATGCTTGTATTGATATATTGATGCCATGGCTGCGTTTTTTTAAAAGGCACTAAAATATCGAGATATCGATACACCACTGCAATGATAGTTTAAGCCGGTTCTCTGAATTTCCAGTTTTCATTATTTTAAAAAACAAAAAGGTCTCTTTCTCCTTCCCATGCAGAGATATAAGGAAAAGAGGCAATTTTTCACAAGAGGCTAGAGAGTTACAATATAAGGGCTGTATTTTAAAAAGTCAAAAACAAAACCACTCATCTTCAGAAGGGGATGGTGGTGGAAGGAGTGATTTGACAATAACAGTAGTCCAATACTTGAAAAGTGGGCTGGAGTGCAGGGCTCTTTTTGTAGCAGGAACTCCTTTGCATATTAGGCAACACCCCCCTAATGTAGCCAATCCTCCAAGAGCTTACAGAGCTCTTCTTACAGGGACTACTGTAAGCTCTTGGAGGATTGGCTACATTAGGCGTGTGTTGCCTAGTATGCAAAGGAGTTCCGGCTACAAAAAGAGAGAAAACTGACAGAAACATTACACCATGCGGAAAGGGGGACTCAAAATCAGCTTCCGGGGTGGGGGGAAGACTGGGGTAAGAGTGGTCTCAAAACAATTGGGGAAGTGAGGGGAGGGGGAGTGAAAACTAAAGTCACAAGAACACATGTGGAAATCAGGGGATAAACTGAAGCAATACAAATAGGGCTGCCAACTGGGGGCGGGGGGCGGGGAAACCCCCGCTTCGGAGGCCCGATTTCCGCCGCTGCGGAATCGGGCCCCTGGGGGAACTCCGCCCCCAAAGTGCAGCGTGGCTGCGTCACCAGAGGTGGGAGGGAAAACTCTATGGTTTTCCCTCCGACGATCGGGGCCACACCTTTAACGTGATCGATGTCACGCGTCACTTCCAGTGACGTGCTGGCGGCACGCACGCGCACACATCGAAGAATCGCTCCCGAAGCCCGGCGAGGCTACCCCGCCGGTAAGAAAATTTGACTTGGCAACCCGAAATACAAACCAATGAAAAAAACCCACCTACAGAAAAGCCCAGAGTTTTCCACAGAACAGAGGCCCCGGCTCCAATACAGAACTAGCCACACATGGGGCTGAAAAGTGGAATTGTCGGGATTCAGAGGCTGATTCTAAACCTGAATAAAGCCGTCTGTCTAGCAGGGAGAATTTGCTCTGGTAGCCAGAATGTACGTCTGACATTTTTCTGGGTGCAAGATTTCCCCTTCCATAGAATCACAGAGTTGGAAGGGGTCACACACAGGCCATCTCGTCCAACCCCCGCTCAATGCAGGATCAGCCTAGAGCATCCCTGACAAGTGTTTGTCCAGCCGCTGCTTCAAGACTGCCAGGGAGGGGGAGCTCCCCCCCCCCCCCCGAGGCAGCTGATCCCACTGTGGCACGACTCTTTCCTGCTTTGGAACACTCCTTGGGCTGGAGTAGGGAGATAGAGAGACAGTGTTGATGACTGCAGAATAATTAGCTGTGTTGATTTATTGGGGCATGTGCGAAAGGCCGCATTTGCATCTTGGCTCAATAACCAAAAGAGCATTCAGCCGCTTCCACAACACATGCAAAGTTGACACTTGGCACATGAGCCGCTCAGATGGCCGGCTCGCCCGCTAGGCGAGCTAGGGGCTCGCCTAGAGTGCACCGGCCCTCAGGGGCGCCAAACTGCGCCCGCCTCCCCCAAAGGGATGCATCCCGCCCGGCCTTGCCTTCCCCGGCCAGCCACGCAGACGCATTCCTTTGGGGGCGGCGCCCTCCTCCCGCAACGGTTCCATCCGGCCCTGGCAGGCAGGCAGGGCAGAGGGGTGCCCCCCGCCCGTCTTCCCCTCTCTCACCTCCGGGGCGGGGCGGCAGCGCTTCTCCCTCCACTCCCTCCTTCCCTCGGCCCAACAGGTGGAGGCGTGAGGCTCCCTTCCACGCCCACCACAGGCGCCTTCGTGGAGGCTGAGGCGGGGGTCGCGCAGGGGCAGCGCAGGGGACGCCAAGGGGCCCCAGCCGTCGCCTCTCCTAGCCTGGGTGAGTCGGGGCGAGTGAGGTCTGCGGGGGTCGGGGCCGGGGGCTGCTGCTAGGCTCCCGCCAGCCGCTCGAGGCGGGGTGCAGCTGGCTCCGCAGCCTTGCTCCGGAGCGGGGGGGAGAGCAGCACAAGGCTCTGAAGCATGGGGGGGAGGGGTGCCGGGGAAAGTGAAAGGAGCAAAGCTCTGGTCTTCGTGGTTCCAGGCACCCGTGCTCCTCCTGAGCAACCGTACCCGAGCAGCGCTTTTAACTCTCTCCTTCGGGGATGATTTCGGGAGCTCCGACAGGATCAGTGCGAAGTAAGGGTGGGCTTGAATCTGCCGCGGAATGAGATGACCGAATGTCGGAGCGGGGGGGGTAGACGGTATCACTTCAGGCTATGAGGGGAGATGCCACGTTGAAATGTTTCACAAGGTAACGTTTACCGCTTGCAGACAGATCAAGGAGAAGAGAGGAAGCCCAGCCTTTGGCTCCTGTACTGGTCACTGTCTGTCTGTGTTCAAACAACAAATTCGGTGGCCGCGCATTCAAAACTGGTTCCCCCCATCTTCATTCTAAAGCGGTACGGTCCACGCTGCCACTTTATTCTGCCCTGCGTGTGGACCAGACCAGACCAGACCTCAGTTATCTTTTGGGATTACCAAAATAACATGGCCTTTGTGATGCTTCTTCTGTGTTTAACCTGTCCTCAGTGAACTGATGACTCTTTTGACTGGAATCTGGGCTTGTTGCAAACCGTCCCCCACCCCTGTTGTGTATATAAATGGATGGACCTGATGGAGTTGCTGGAGGGACCTCTGTCTCAGAGCAGTTTATATGGGAATAAATTCTGTTCCTCTCTAAAGTGCCTCTATTTTATTTTGCACAATAAAAAACATTCTGAAAATGTTTAAGGAACCTTTGTAGAGCATAACAGCAGCAGCAGTAATAACAAAAACATGCTGAATGGGCCCATTTCATTTTTTAAATCTTCTGTATCCATGTGCCAGGTACGCGTACCTGCAATGCCAACTGACTGCATATCCATGTGAAGCAATCTGTTGCAGTACATCATTTTTACACAGTGTTTTGTAAACTGCTTTAGGTAGGCTTCACAAAAAGCAGCATATAATATTTTGAATAAACAATGCATTAATTTGAATATTTATCTTTGAAGCTTAAATAAAGATTCCTTTGCCAGCATTTAAGGTATGACTGAGGTTACAGATCACATCATTAGACTAAACAACACCCACAGTTTTTCTGGCCAAACTTACCTCTATTCTAATTGGTTATAGCTAACAGGAGCTGTGGTGGCTCAAGTGGTTAAGACACTGAACTGCAGGCTGTGGAAGGTCGGTAGTTCAGCAGTTCAAGACCCAGGTTGCTGCATGGGACTTTCTTGATTATTTGTGTTTTTCAATCTTCCTAAAATGCATTTATTTTTGGGAATTGGGGGGCGCAGGGGGGGGGGCGCCAGAAGGGATCCTCGCCTAGGGTGCAAAATAAGCTGGGGACGGCCCTGGCCGCTCACAATATCCTATCAACTGCAGAAGTCGTTTTCTTCTGTAAGGTTTCGAGTTAGCCTCCCGTGAGGGCTCCCAGGAAATGCTTCTGTATTATGGAGGAGGAGGAGGAGGAGATTGGAGTCATACCCTGCCCTTCACTACCTGAAGGAGTCTCAGAGCGGTTTACAATCGCCTTCCCTTCCTCTCCCACAACAGACACCCTTTGAGGTAGGTGGGGCTGAGAGAGCTCTGAGAGAACTGCTCTTGAGAGAACAGCTCTGAGAGAACTTATGACTGACTCAAGGTCACACCAGCAGCTGCATGTGGAGAAGTGGGGAACTGAACCTGGTTCTCCATGTTAGAGTCTGCTGCTCTTAACCACTACACCAAACTAGCTCTATGGAACAGCTTTCCTGAAAATGGCACTTTGTTGAGATTCTACAGACTGCACAACTCAGATTTTCAGGAAGACTTTCAGACACCTAAGGACACCAGAGTGTTGTTTTCTGATACTTGCTTTAACTGTATTTTAATTTTTTTTGCACTGTTACTCGCCCTAAATCCAGTTTTGGGGAGAGGGGGGTTAAAAAGTCTTTACGATTTTCTTTACTGAAGAAGAGGAGAGGGGATTGGATTTATACCCCACCCTTCACTACCCAAAGGAGTTGCAGAGCGGCTGACAATCTCCTTTCCCTTCCCCTCCCCACAACAGACACCCTGTGAGGTAGGTGGGGCTGAGAGAGCTCTTTCCAGAACTGCCCTTGAGTGAACAGCTCCGAAAGAACTTGTGACTGGCCCAAGGTCACACCAGCAGCTGCATGTGGAGGAGTGGGGAATCACACCTGGTTCTCCCATTTTAGAGTCCACACTCCTAACCACTACACCAAACTGGCTCTTTCTTCCCAGTGGGGACCCAAAGCGGCTTACATCATTCTCCTCTCCTCCATTTTATCCTCACAACAACCCGGGGAGGTGGGTCCAGCTGAGATTGTGAGAATGGCCCAAAGTCACCCAGAGAGCTTCCATAGCACAAGTGGAGATTCAAAACTGGGTCTCCCACGTTCTAGTCTGACTCCCAATGCTCCCTTCTAAGCAAAAACGCTACTTTGTGAGGTGCTGACGTTAAGGTTGTGAGTGAGCGAGCGATTTGGCTACTGCATCAATGAGTTTGCTCTGGAGGCCGACTTCCTGGGCTAAGACAAGAATGGGTGAGCTGGCGGCTAAAAAACTGTGAGCTAGCTCACACTGACTCAGCTTAGAGGGAACACTGTACGCCACACTGGAAAATCAGGCTGAAAACATCTTTTCCCTCTCTGCCTTGAATACCACAGCACTAGTTTCCTAGCTAAGGCAAGAACTGCAGTGCAACGTATGCTGGTTTCCTCGTAGGATAAAAATGTCCCAAATACGAAACTTGCCTCCCACTGGCAGAGCAGGATTTCCATGCGTGTTTGTACTTCCAGCTGCGGTTTGAGCTGCGGTGGCTCAAGTGGTTAAGACACTGAACTGCAGGCTGTGGAAGGTCGGTAGTTCAGCAGTTCCAGACCCGAGTGTGCCGCATGATGGAGTGAGCTCCCGTCTCTAGTTCCAGCTCCTGCCAACCTAGCAGTTCGAAAGCAAGAAATTGCAAGTAGATAAATAGCTACCACTTCGGTGGGAAGGGAACAGCGTTCCGTGCGCCTTGGTGTTTAGTCATGCCGGCCACATGACCACGGAAACGTCTTCGGGCAGCGCTGGCTCTTCGGCTTTGAAACGGAGATGAGCACCGCAACCCTAGAGTCGGGACTCGACTGGCTTTCGAGCAAGGGAACCTTTACCTTTACCTTGCACCTCCAGCACCATGCAAGCGACCTGTATCAATCTCTTCGTTCTTATTCTTAGGATAATGACAGAATATACCCTCTGTAAACCGCTCTGAGACACTTCGGGGTCAAGGGCGGTATAGAAATCGAAACTATAAATAAATAAATAAACTGATGGAAATCTGGGATCTAATGCACACACTGTCTGGCACCCCGGTTTACTAGAAAAGTCTGAAACCAGAACTTTGAAAGTCTTTAGTGTCCAAAACTTGGGGTGCTAAAGGGCACCAGGTCATAGAGTTCGGCAGTTGCACTGAGAGCAAGAGGAGCGGCCGGTCTGAGAAAATGGAAGGGTACCCATATGAAACTGCCTTATATTGAATCAGACCCCTGGCCATGTCGGCCTTGTCTATTTAGGGTGCGGTCACACGCACCAGATAAAATGGGGGGGAGGGGCTATTTTCCTCCGGAGGAGTTTGACCCACAGTTGCACGATCACACCTCCCTTTGAAGGTGTGATCGTGCGACTGTGCACAGCCCGTCAGTGTGTGATCAGATGCAACTGCACCTCCGCACTGAGGGCTCCCTATGATGCGTGTACTGCGAAGGGGGAAAAAAACAACGGCACGGAGCTGGGATGGCCTGATCAGACCATCCCGATGCCATGAGAGCGCGCTGGACTAATCAGACAGGGGAAAGTCCGTGCATGGCCCGTCGCAACCTGTTTACTACCGGATTTCCCCCCTGGTGTGTTTTAACTCCACTTCTGCGGCGGAGCACAATGGGTTGCCGACGGCTGCGGTGCGCTTCCCAGGTGTTGCTGTCTGATCACGCCCTTTCAATCCGCCCGGCATTCATGCCTATATTGGGGCTAATTGTGTGTATGATCGGCGCCTCAGACTGGCAGCAGCTCTTCAGGGTCTCAGTGGCAGATGCCTTTCCCATCAACTGCTGCCAAAGCTTTTAACTGGATACCGGGGATCAGGGCTATTTTTGGGCAGAAACGCACAGGAACGGAGTTCCGGCTGGCTCCCGAGTTGGCCACGCCCAGCAGGAGCTCATTAGCATAATAGGCCACACCCAACAGCAGGAACCCATTAGGATTGGCTACAGTAGGGGTGTGTGTGGCCTAACATGCAAAGTAGTTCCTGCTACAAAAAAAGGCCCTGGGTTTTGACAACAAACAAGGTAAACAGAATAAGAAGCAAAAGGTGGGTGTGGCTGGATGACCACACTTCTGGTAACATGGGGGTGTGGCCTAATGTGCTAATGAGCTGTGCTGTCAGGGGTGTGGCCCAATATGCTAATGAGTTTCTGCTGCTGGGTGTGGCCTATTATGCTAATTAGTTCCTGCTGGGCTTCTTCTACAAAAAGAACCCTGCCGGGGATTGAACCTGGGACCTTCCGCATACCAAGCTGAGCTCCCTTAAATCAGCCTCGGATTAGAGAAGGTAAAAGAACACTGGCCGCAGCAGCCAGAAACATCTGTTTGAAATGGAACAAGCCGGATACAGAACGGAAGGGAAGTGGAGTTTCCCTTCCGCACAGCACAAGAAGAAGATATTGGATTTATACCCCGCCCTTCACTCAGAGTCTCAGAGCGGCTTACAAACCCCTTTCCCTTCCCCTCCCCACAACAGACACCCTGTGAGGTAGGTGGGGCTGAGAGCTCTTTCGAGGACTGCTCGTGAGAGAACAGCTCTGACTGGACTATGGCTTGCCCAAGGTCATCCAGCGGCTGCGAGTGGTGGAGTGGGGAATCAAACCTGGTTCTCCCAGATTAGATTCCGTGCACTTAACCAAACTGGCTCTCAAGAACCTTTCGCTCTGGGGACAGGGGTTTTCAGGGATCCTATCTGCACTAACACCAGTTTCCCACAGACAGGAGGATGTTTGAAACGGTTGAAATGTGCAGTTCCATTAAAATGGTAATATGTGACTTCTGGTGTATTAGTAAGACCCTGCTATCAGAGAATTGCACATATTTTATTTTTAATTCATCCATTCATTCGACATTATTTATGCTCCATCTTTCTCGCTTGGCTTCAAGACAGATTATGCAGAGTTAGTCAATACAAACGACGGAGGGGACATTCAACCAGCAAAGCGATAACAATGAGGGTTGTAGAACCAATCAAGAGGCTAAAAACAGAACCAAAGTGAAGCATGGCCCCGGTTGCACGGAGCATTTGCCACGCTGAAGGCACGATGCTCCCGTGGAGTTTTATGGCGCAATCACACCGGAACATCTGGGAGGCGTAGTGCTCCCGTGGTGAACCCGTGGCATCCTGCCGAAGATGCGCAATAAAAAAGTACCTGGGACGACCTACTAGCAAATGGTTTGCCACGGGCTGCATGCGGATCCCCCCGGTGTGATTGCACTGGCACGCAGCTTTCTCCCCCGTCGTCCTGTTTGCCGCGGGTGCCAAAGGAGGAAGCCGCCATCGCGTCTGAACGCATAATCACGGATCAAACTGCGACGGCGCAAATAGGCACGCCTCCTCCCCACACCACTTGTTATCCGGCCCATGTGACCGGAGCCCATGTATTAACACAACCCATTAAATGATGCAAAATTTCATGGCAGGATCCTCGTTTCAACGAACTATACATAGATCAAGACAGGTAGCTGTGTTAGTCTGTCCGGAGAAGTAGAAAAGAGAAAGAGTCCAGGAGCACCTGAAAGACTAATAAAATGGGTGGCAGGGGGAGGAGCTCTTGTGAGTCTCTGTTCACTTCTTCAGATACTATGCATAGTAGTATAGACGACAGTCCCTAATAAATTTTCTAAGTAACTTTTTGAATCATTTAGGAAGAAGGAGGAGGAGGAGGAGGAGGAGATTGGATTTATACCCCACCCTTCACTACCCAAGGGAGTCTCAGAGCGGTTTACAAACTCCTTTCCCTTCCCCTCCCCACGACAGACACCCTGTGAGGTAAAAGAAGAAGAAGAAGAGATTGGATTTATACCCCGCCCTTCACTACCCAAGGGAGTCTCAGAGCAGCTTACAAACTCCTGTCCCTTCCCCTCCCCACAACAGACACCCGGTAGGTGGGGCTGAGAGAGCTCTGACAGAAACAGCTCTTTTTCAAGAACAGCTGTGCCAGAACTATGGCTTGCCCAAGGTCATCCAGCAGTTGCAAGTGGAGGAGTGGGGAATCAAACCCGGTTCTCCCAGATTAGAGTCCGCACACATAACCACGACACCAAACAGGTTCCTTGGTACATTTGATATAAGGAATCAGAATGGAAGGGATTTTTTTTGCCATCAAGTCGAAGGTGACTTGTATGACTTCGTTCTCATGGCCCTTTCTTACATGCCCAGGGAAATGCTGATTGCCACTTTGGGGTCAGGAAGCAATTTTTCTCCAGGCTGGTTTGGGTGGAGATCCTGGAGGGTTGGGTTTTTTTTGGTCATCTTCAGGGTGTGGAACAGGGGTCACTGGGTGTGTGTGTGTGGGAGGTATTTGTGAATTCCCTGCATTGTGCAAGGGGTTGGACTTAGATGACCCTAGAGGTCCCTTCCAACTCTTATTATTCTATGACCCCATAAGGTTTTCAAGGCAAGAGACATTCAGAGGTGGCTTGCCATTGCCTGCCTCTGTGTAGCAACCCAGGACTTCCTTGGTGGTCTCCCATCCAAGTACTGATGAAAGCTGACCCTGCTTAACTTCCGGGTTCTGCCAAGATCGGGCTGGCTTGGGTTATCACCGGTCAGGACAAGCCCTAGTCAAAGGGAATCAAGAATGTCATTCATCCACAGTGTAGAGTTCAAAACATCGCCTCGAGATTCATTCCTACGAAGCACACACTTCGAGATTTATTCCTGCATTTTTCCTCCACGCCCCAGTCTGTAGACAAGATCGACTGCTACTCTATCATTTCTATTTACTCTACAAAGCAGGATTCTGGTGTATTTTTTTAATGGCACCTCTGGAATTTTGATGGATAAATCATTTTACAATTAAGGGGAAGCAGGAGACACCTGAAAACTCACCTCTGTTTAGAGAACTGCTTCAACAAATACGGTTAGAATGCGGAGACTGGAAACTGTGTTTGGAACGTGGCTTTATGAACTCAATCAGCATGCCACCAAAAGGATGCAAAGAGATAATTTGCAACGCACGGATACAATTTGGGAACATGGACTAATCTCTGTTATGTACCGGAATCAAGAATATTAAGACACAAAACAGACCTTTTTCGCTTTTTTAGGAAGTTCGAATAAATGCCACTTTTTGGTTTTATCTATGAAGGCATTATGTAACACAATCTAGGTGCTAAAAACGCCAGTGTTGTGTGTTTTTCTTTCTTCTCCATGGACAGGCAAGCAAATTACCTATTAGCATACCTTTAGAAAGGCAAAGAAGATGAGGAATCCCTACCTGTGCCATAGCCACGAAACGACTGCTGACTACCAGGAATTCCAGCGCACGGAGCACCCTGTTTGCCATCGGAGATCTCTGGGTCGGGAAACCCTCTCTGTGCCTTGAGGCAGCTGCAAGCAAGGAAGCCAGGCAGAGATGTCGGAGAATCCAGCCGGTGGGTCTGTGTGCCTCTGCAACTCTCTGCAGTGAACTTCTCCTGAGGGGGAAAGGGAGAGAAGGCTGGAGCTCAGCAGAGAGGCAGACAGAAAGAGCCTCCCTCGATGCGATCTCGGCATCTGATGAACACAGGGTGGTGGCAGCGGCAGCAGCAGCTTCTCTCTTTCGTTCCACTTGCGCAGGAGTGAGATCGGAACCAGGGTGTGTTGCTTGCAGGGTGCATTTGCGGAGGGGCTCGGCACTCCTCCTGGGCCCTTCTGCAGCATCACAGACACCTGTCCTCAGGTTTTCTGGTCTGAGTAGGGTACCTTGGAGAGCATGGCTGGCGTCAGCATACCCAGAGTTGGGGCAGCGGCTGGGGCCCAAGTCTTAAGAATATAAGAAGAGCCCTGCTGGATCAGACCAGTGGTCCATATAGTCCAGCATCCTGTCTCACACAATCAGTTCCTCTGGAGAGCCAACAACAGGGTACGGAGGCCGAGGCCTTCGTAAGGACATAAGAAGAGCCCTGCTGGATCAGACCAGAGGTCCATTTAGTCCAGTATCCTGTTCCACACCGCGGCCAACCAGTTCCTCTAGAGGGCCAACAAGAGGGCTGTTTTTGGGCAGGAACGCACAGGAACAGAGTTCCGGCTGGCTCCCAAGTTGGCCATGCCCAGCAGGAACTCATTAGCATAATAGGCCACATCCAACAGCAGAAACTTATTAGGATTGGCTACATTAGGGGTGCGTGGCCTAAGGGGGTTCTTACTACCAAAAAAAGCCCTGTGTTTTGACAACAAACAAGGTGAACAGAATAAGAGGCAAATGGTGGGTGTGGCTGGATGACGTAACTTCTGGTAACATGGGGGTGTGGCCTAATATGTTCACAAGCTGTGTTGTCGGGGGTGTGGCCTGATATGCTAATGAGTTTCTGCTGTTGGGTGTTGCCTATTATGCTAATGAGTTCCTGCTGGGCTTTTTCTACCAAAAAAGCCCTGCAGAGCATCACTTGCCCCAGACTGAGAGTTCCTATCTACTGAGTTCCTATCTATCTACCTTTGCTCCATACATTTGTCCAATCTCCTCTTGAAGCTTGTAGCCACTGCCACCTCCTGTGGCAGTGAATTCCATGTGTTAATTACTCTTTGGGTGAAGAAGGACTTCTTTTTATCCGTTCTAACCCGACCGCTCAGCAATTTCATGGAGTGCCCATAAGTGAGAAAGGGAGAAAAGGACTTCTTTCTCAACCTGCTCTATCCCACGCACCATCTTATAAACCTCGATCATGTCACCCCTCAGTCGTCGTTTCTCTAAGCTAACAATATGGCCATCTAAGAAAGAGGTGTAAATCCTCCGCTACTCCCGACAACCTACTGGACAATTAATCTAAAATAAATAGCAGACAAAGCTGCCAGATGAACAGAAGTGAACCTAAACTACCTTAGGAATCTAGAACCGGGTGAAACAAAATTATTTGAAGACACCTGTGGCAAAGGAACTGTGGGCTCTCAAAGCCCTAAAGTGTTAGACACAACACTGAAATGCCCTTTCCTTGCCATAAAAGGGGACTGGCAAATATGGACTCGGGGGCATTGAGAGACTTCAAAGAAATAAAAAATAAGAGGAAACTGTCTCAGTTCGCGCCGATTCAGATGCCTTTAGAAGATGGCCCTTTCTGGACAGCTTGCTCCAGAGGATCCGAGGAGTCAAGCCTTAAGCGATGACGTTGCAGTCGCACGCATTCCCTCTGCACTGACTCCCCCCCCCAAGTTTATTTATTTGTGTATTCTGCATGCATTCTGCATCTACAAGCAAATCCCATATTCCCCCCCCCCAATTAATATGGAAACGTCATGTGATGTTGTGTGGGTGGTGTCCAAAGTTTTTAGAATTTATGCAATCATCCTGCTACAGTTAAAACTTTTTACTGCAAATCCAACCCCTCCCTCCCTCCCTCCCTCCCTCCCTCCCTCCCTCCCTCTGTGATTCTACAAAAAGAAAGGGAAAGGAGGGGGGAAACCCAGGCCCACACATAAAAGACTGACACATTTGGGAGCAGGGAGTCCCCTAGTCCTTTATATTTACTGATTCCTTCTTATGCTGTCTCTGGCTTTTTAAAAGTTCGCCTGAGCGGGAGGACACGTCCTCTTTTGTCTTTGGAGAAGGAGGGAAAGAAAACAGAACAGGGAGGGAGCAGCAACCTAAAGAGAGAGAGGCAGAAACAGGGGAGGGGCAGTGGGCAGCACTTAAATACCAGTAGAAACAATTCTAGTTTAGAAAGGATTCGCGATTTAAAAGTCAGTGAGAACAAGAAATCACTGCAAAAGAAGTTCTGATAGCTGCAGGGCAACAGTGTGCTGGAAGTGGTCTGAATGCAGATTCCTCACAGGGTTATTGAGCTCGTTTGTTATGAGGGCCGGATTTGACATAAATAAGACCTTGTTGGGGCAGGCCATGTGTGTCATAAAAGGTAATGCCAGGTAGCGGAGATATAAACTTTATAAAGGACACCGGCAAACACAATTAAAGATTTTTTTAAACTTTAAATAACACATTTCCAGTGAGTCTGACAACCCCATGTGAAACAAATGCAGAAGCAACAAAAAGCTCCGACAGAAACTGGAAGTGATAGCCGGAGGAATACAGAACGGAAGAATAGGATGCGCTCAGAAACCGAGGCAAAATAAGGATGCAGAAAGGGTCGGTGTTCATTGCTGAACTAATGGAGCGAAACAGAGGACTCCTCCCCTTCTGGCTGGCGAGAAAAGATGCTCAAGCTGTTTCTCCATCTGACCAGGACAGTATTATCTAATTCTTTTTTTCCTATTTATAACTTGATCAGTTATTTTAGTTTATTTTGCCTTGTCTGGAGCTCGTCAGTGAATTGTTTATCTCTTATGTGAGAAGCGAGAGGACTA